CCAAGATGGGTACTAGAGGACCCCAGGGCTTCCAGGACCTAGTATGGCTTCCCAAAATGTGATAAGACCTCTACAGCCATATAACCACTAACTTCTGTGATGTCATAAATAACTCCAATTGCCCTAGTTGCTGCATTTAAGTCTCTGCCCAACAAATTCAAAGTGATCTACTTACACAAACTAAATTACATCCCTAACACAACACACATTTGGATGTCTTGCTAAAGTGAATTTTCCTCCTGATTTCCACACTAGTAATTATGCTCTTTGGAAGATTGTTTTGGCTTTTCTTTTCCTCTTTTCATATTCTTATTATATTGCCTGTTATACTGCAGGCTTAGACTAGATAAATTCACCAAAAAATAGGAGGAGGAAAAGTTGCTGCAGGAGTAAAGTTGCCTTGCCAAGAAGCCAAACCTGACTATAAAAGGAGTCTGTCCTGTGAGCTTCTGAGAGAAGATCATAGGGAAGGAGAACAAAAAATCAGACTGACAATGTCCCTAGGAGAAGCTTATTCCAGGTCTTACTTCCACTCTAACTTACAAAGAATTTCCACTATATGGTACGTCTGAAATGGAGTGTGTTTAAATAAAAAGAAAAAGAAAGAAAAAAGTTAAAAGGAAGCAAGTACTTAGAAAACTATTTAAAATTTCCTTAAGAAGGATGGGCAGCCCAGGTGGCTCAGCGGTTTAGCGCCGCCTTCAGCCCAGGGCCTTATCCTCGAGACCAGGGATTGAGTCCCACGTCGGGCCTTCCTGCACAGAGCCTGCTTCTCTCTCTCTCTCTCTCTCTCTCTCTCTCTAATAAATAAATATTTTCTTTATATAAATAAATAAAATTTACTTAAGAAGGAAATCCCAATGAAATCTCTTTCCTAAAAATGATACCGACTCCAGTTAAGCCTCACCTAGAGAGTACAGCCTAGTCCTAATTCATAGCCCAGTCTTCTCTCACAACCTTTGTACTTACTGCTTTCTTCCCTGAACATCAACTTGGCCCAACCCTTCACTTCTGGTCTTCTGGTCTCAGAGGCTTCCCTGGACACACTATCAAAAGAGCTACCCCAGCTAGCTCAGTGGGTAGAGCACGTGACTCTCGATCTCAGGGTCATGAGTTCAAGGCCAATATTGGGTATAGAGTTTACTTTAAAAAGAGATTGCGGGCGGTGGGGGTGCGGGGTGGTGGTGGTGGTGCCTGAGTAGCACAGTCAGGTTAAGCTTCTGACTCTTGGTTTCAGCTCAGGCCACAATCTCAAGGTTGTGGAATTGAAACCTCCATAGGATTCTGCACTCTGCACAGAGTCTGCTTGAGTTTCTCTCTCTCTCTCTCCCCCCCCCTCCCCTGCCTCTTAAAAAAGAGAGAGAAAATGAGCACTATCCCTACCAAGGCCCACCCACCTGCGGTACTTGCAGGGCGGCTCTTAATTTTTGCCTCCATCACTTCTCTCCATAGCAATGATCATCACCTGAATGGTTTTGTTCATTTGTTTTTTATTGGCTTGTCTGTCTTCCCCCATAACCTCCCTGAGGAATGTCTGTCTGTTTGGTTTCCTCCAATAGCCTTACTCGACAACAATCCCTGATGAGCAGTAGGCATTCAATATAAATTAGTGGAGTTAATGAAAGAATAAATGATTATGATTTACTTTTTTTTACCGTTTTTATTTTTATTTTTTAATTTATTTTTTATTGGTGTTCAATTTGCCAACATATAGAATAACACCCGGTGCTCATCCCACCAAGTGCCCCCCTCAGTGCCCATCACCCAGTCACCCCCACCCCCCACCCATCTCCCTTCCACCACACCTATTTTGTTTCCCAGAGTTAGGAATCTCTCATGTTCTGTCTCCCTTTCTGATTATGATTTTCAAAGTTTTGTTGAATTCTTAAGTATTTATGCACTAAAATAATCTTCTCCATAGGACTACTTGAAATATGTCTATGTAAATATTTAGACTATAAACCACGAGACTCAAGCCCCAACTCTGCCTTTAATTGCTTATGTAACCCGATTAGATCATTTCTTGGAGCTTCTTCACCTTGTATATCTGACGTCCTATGGTTTGCAACCATGACTCTAAAATCCAACAGAAAAATAGATTCCGTATTTAAATATTCTCTGGGCACATCACCTTTAGTTGCCTATGTATGGCATAAAACAAAGTACAGTGGGGATCCCTGGGGGGCTCAGTGGTTTAGCGCCTGTCTTCAGCCCAGGGCATGATCCTGGAGACCCAGGATCGAGTACCTACATCAGGCTCCCTGCAAGGAATGGAGCCTGCTTCTCCCTCTGCCTGTGTCTCTGCCTCTCTTGCTCTCTGTGTCGCTCATGAGTAAATAAATAAAATCTTAAAAAAAAAAAAAAAGTGCAGCTATAAAGGCACCTGGTGGGGTTCAGAACAAGCATCTATGACATATGCCACTGGGCGTGCACAGTATTTTAAGCTGAAGACAATCTGGGCCCAGCTTTTTGTCACCCCCTTAACTGCCTCTAAGAGTTTGGAAAGAGGGCCTGCTGCAGGAAAACAGCTCTCACCAGAGGTAACTAGGAAGAGGCTGGGCTAGGTGTAGTAGGCCTGAGGAGCTTGGCAGGGCCCGTTTGTTCAGATTCCTCTCTGTGTCCCGCTGTTCCGCTCGGCAAGGCACACATTTGCTCTTCCCATCTTCCTGTGAATCGTGGACCTTCCCTCTGAAGCCCCAGACCCCACCTTTTCCTTCATTCAGGATGCCATAAGGGCCTCCATTGCCCCCCACGGAGCCTCTCAGGTCAGGGCGAGGTACCCATCCATACCTAAGACATGAAACTCAATTTTCTATTAATCTCCTATCAATGCAATTAATACAGCAGCCCAAAGAACTTAGAACATTTTCCCTCCCATACACATCAAACATCTTGAAGGCTTTTTCAGCTGCACCTGGAAAACTGTTTCAGATATATTAAATGGTCCCCCAGAACTAAGAGCAGGGGGGACCTCAAGATGATTTCAGGAACGACGTCTCTAGGGCTCCGAGGTCCCAGAGTGTCGGTCTGTTCCCGGAGGACCCTTGTGTCATTAGATAATGCGGGGCAAGGATTTGCGGTAGCGCCATTCGCCAACGACTGGGATCCTGGGAAGACTCGGGCTGACGAGGATTCTGTGCATGCATCGCTCCTCCGTCAAGTTTTTTTTTTAATTTTTATTCATTTATGATAGTCACTCAGAGAGAGAGAGAGAGAGAGGCAGAGACACAGGCAGAGGGAGAAGCAGGCTCCATGCACCGGGAGCCCGACGTGGGATTCGATCCCGGGTCTCCAGGATCGCGCCCCGGGCCAAAGGCAGGCGCCAAACCGCTGCGCCACCCAGGGATCCCCCGAAGCCCAAGTCTTAAGGAGCACGCTCGGCGGGGCCCCTCAGAAAGGAGGAGGCCAAGACCCACGTGCAGAGCCGCAGGGACAAGACGCCGCGGAGACGCCACGCGCCCGCCTCCCACCGCAGCAGCGGCCTCGCTCTGCCCCGGCCCGGCCCCGCCCCCAGCTCCCATCAGGCCCCGGGCTCTCCGCTTCCTCGGCCCAAATCGCTCGTGCGCGGGCCGCTAGGCGGTTCCCGAGAACTGTGGGAAGTCTCGCGAGGGGGTCCCGGCTGGGTGTGTGGGCGGGTGGGCGGGTGGGGGGGAAAGCGTCTCGTCGCCCTGGAAACGAGTGGCCTCGCCTCCGGGGGGTGAGGCGGGGCGGGGCTGTCGAGCCACAGCTGCGCTCCTTCCAGCCGCTAGGGCTTAGGCGTGGCGGGGCAGGACGGCTGCACCCCGCAAGGAAGGACTGCGGGGCGGGGCTGGGGGGGACGAGGGGGTCGGGCCAGGGCGGCCGAAAGGGAAACAGCGTCGCAGACGAGCCCCGCCCCGCCCTGCGGGAAGCCCGCGCGCCCCGGGGCATGAGCCCCTCCGCGCACCGCGCGGTGCAGACGCGAGGGTGGCGGGAGCGCCGGGCCCACGCGACTCGCGGCCGATGAAACCCACCGCGCCGGGGAGGTGACGGTGCCTGCCCCCCGCCCCCCGCGGGCGCCCGGGCGAGGACCTGAGCGTGTGGCTTTCCCGAGGCTCCGGGTTCGCGGTGCCGCAGGTCAGCGCCTAGGTGGGCTCCTCGGAGCGCGGCAGGGCGCACGGGTTCCCGGGTCTGCAGCCGTGGCGGCGCCCAGACCGGGATGTCCCGGCCTCGGGATGCTGGGGACGTCCTCTCTGTGGCGTTCGTGGTTGTTTAATGGTCAATTGCTTTGGTCCTCGCAAAAGTGACAGCATCTTAGGACGGAGGTGCTGTTACTCGGTTGTCTTCAGGACCCCGGGGCGGGGGGGGGGGCGCTTGCGTGGAGGAGTAGCGATCGCGGCGGGTAGAACCTGCTGAGAGCTACTGCGGCTCAGGCGAGAGCAGTGGGGTATTTCCAGAGTATCTGCAGTATCCCGGACCATCGCACAGAGAGCATCATCTATAGAATAGTAACCACAACAGAAAGAGGAAAGTGTAGGGCAGCCATTTGAGCTTTTGGTCAATGGAAAATTAAGCAAAAATTTAAAAAAAAATTTTTTTTGACCATATTGTTAGATTTCATTGAGTAACTATGATTTTTTCTTTGATTCGTGATCTTTTTAAATACCCTCAGGATTATTCTGAACCTGCTCTGCCGGGTGTTGAACTAAATACGGGGCTGCGTGCCCTGGGGATTTCCTTCTCAATTAAATTATTCTCTTGATTCGTCTTTTACTGCGGTTTTGGTCTCCTTTTCATGGCAATGGAAGATTTCTTCAAATGTTCGAAGTTGAATGTTTGACTAGCTGTGTCCTAATTAATATAGGTTTTAGTGGAGCCTGTTGTCACTGTTAATTACATACAGTTGGCTCTATCCGGGGGTTAGTCATTTAATGTAATGAACACCTTCAAATTCAGCAGAAAACTGCCCAGTAAGTTCCCTAGAAATTGTTTTACAGCCTGCCTACGTAATAAAAGAGATTTCAAGCCAGTTATTGGAAGAAATGTCAGAAGATTCAGAAAAAGAAGACTATTCAGATGGAACAATCAGTGATGAAGATGAGTCAGTATGTTTTTCTCGACTTTATCCCTACTTAATTTCAAATAAAACTTGTGTTATCAATTCCCAGGAAAAAAATATTATAAACCCAGCTGGATGCAGAAATCAATTAGATGTTTAAATCACCTGTCACTGAATTTGGAAAATAATTTGAAAGCCAAGCTATTACCATGTGCAGTATGCCCCATCTCAGAAGAGCCTACATCGATACTGTCTTTATGAGAAAATATTTTGGCTAAGATGCTTTTGAGTTTTACTTAACAGTGTGTACTAAATCATTACTAAAGTTTTATTTTTATAAATCATGTTCACTTATATATATTAATTCTGTTACATCGTAGTATGTATCATAATACTGGATCCCGTCTGTTCTAGACCTACTTTGTATCCCCATAAAAGGTTTAATATGGCTCTGATGTAACAAAGGAAAGGACACGGAGGAAGAAAAAAGGAAAAAACAAAACACAATATTTCAAAATAGTTTGGATCTAGTACATATTTCTGAGCGATTTCCTTCACATTTTAGTGAATCATCACATATAGAGGTTAAGGTCCCAGAACAAGCTCCCTTCAAATAACGTATCACCCTTTAAGTCCATGGCTTTCTGTGCTTCTTTTTCTTTTTCTTCTTTTTGTTCATTTTATTCATAGTTTAAACTGTTCTGCCAAGTTTACCAAGAATCTTTAAAATTTATTCCCTCCGTACATTCATTAATATGACTTTAACCAATGAAAGATAAAAACTTAAAGGTTTCAGGATTTTTGAAGTGTTGGGCACTTTGAGACCAGTAGCCCATAATAATCCTTTGGGTTTTTTTCACTCATTAAAGATTAGATGCACTCAATTCTAAGTACTCAAATAGATGTAAAAAAATTTCTGGATTTGGAAACTATTGGTATTAAAAAAAACCATTATAAAACTCTCTTGTTTTAGGATGAGGATACCTTCATGAAATTTGTAAGCGAAGATATCCACTCGTGTGCACTTTTAACAGGTTTGAACTTGTCCATATAATCTCCCTTCTCTTTAGGATAAAACCTTGAGTATTCGCTCAAGGTCAATGAAAAGTAAGAAAGTGTAGAAACTAGAAAAAAGTCAGATTGATTAATATAGAAGTGCATTCTGATATTGGATAAGGAAAGAAATCGTATCCACTTTTATAAACATCTCTTGGAGTTCAGACTTTAAAGGTTTTAGATAAACCTGATATTTAATGAAACTAAAAGTAGTCATTATTTATAAAAGGCTACACTTAACATAAGGAATTACATAGGCATTTCTTTAAATAACTAGCTCTATAATTTACAGTATGACTCGAGTTATAATGGACACTATTTTTGAAGTACATCTTTATTCAAATGAACTATGCCCATGTAAAGAGTTTCCTTAATAAAACCATTTATTTGCAAGTGTACATATAAGTGGGATCTTGATGTATAGTTGATTTTTTAAAATTTATACATTTAGTATTGTATTTAGAGTTTTCAAATACACTAAAATATTCTAAATATTCTCATCACAGATTATCTGAAATTGAAGATAAGATTTTAATTTTTTCTTTTTTCTTCTTTTTCCTTTTTTTTTCTTTTCTTTTTTTTTAAACCATCATCCTAAAACAAATCTTTTGAGATACCTACTCTTCTCAGTTTGGTATGTATCCTTCTAGGCCTTTTCCTTTGCATTTATGCACATATCTATACTCATAGAAAATTTGTAGTACTGGTTTATGGACTTGTACTACTACTTGTACTTGCCACTCTTTTTCTTTTTAAAATTTTGATAATTTGTGGAAGAAAGGAGGTAACTCACCATTTTAACTAACATTTCCTTTATTGCTGAAGAAATTGAGAATTATTTTATGTTTGTCTATAGTCACTCTTATAATGAATTGCCTGTTTATAGTAATCCTTTGTGAATGTTGCTTATATTATTTAGAATTATTTTGATGTTAAATTTATCATTATTTATTTGTGGCTCTCTGTGTTTATATCTGTTTTAAGCTACAATGGCCTTCCCTACCCCCAAGGTCACCAATATAATCATCTAGCTTTTCTCTAAAGACTTTGCATTTTGGTATTTAATTTCTCCATAATTTACATTTACAAATAGTATGAGATATGGATCTAGTTTTATTTACTCATTCATAGCTGCCTTGCCATTTTTGAGTCATACTGTAAATTAGGCAAAATGTATCTGTTCACATAATGAAATACTAGATGCTTAATAACTGTTGAATAAATGGATCTAAATACCAAACCTGAGAAGTACAAGGGAAGGTATTATTATTCCTTATTTACATATGGTAAAATTTATGTTCAAAGAGGCTGCATTAGCCAAGCAAAATCATATAGAAACAAAGTGATAGAACTTTGCTTCTAGTCCAACTTGCTATATCTGCTTTTTTAAAGAAATAGCTCAAAACTAAATCTGGGTAAAAAGCCACATTTTGGCGGTGGGAAAGCAAGAGGAGTCAGTGAGACAAATGGAGAACCACGTATGTGAAAGGTAGGGAGAAAACCAGAAAGTGTTGCATCATAAAAGACAAGGAACATGAGCTTAGGGAGGTGTGATTTTTTTTTTTTATAAATTAATTTTTATTGGTGTTCAATTTACCAACATACAGAATAACACCCAGTGCTCATCCCGTCAAGTGTCCCCCTCCGTGCCCGTCACCCATTCACCCCCACCCCCCGCCCTCCTCCCACCACCCCTAGTTCATTTCCCAGAGTTAGAAGTCTTTATGTTCTGTGTCCCTTTCTGATATGGGAGGTGTGATTATCCACATCAAATTGATGCCCCAAGCTATCCCATAGAAAAAGACAGGGCCCCTACACTGCAAGTAGGTAGTGAAAACACAAGAGGCAATGCCATTGTGTTCTATGTAAATTATGCTCTTCGAGTTGTCTTACACAGTGATCCTAGAATGAGAACAGTTGTGACTGAGAGTTTACTAGCAACCTTTGAGAATATAATAATGCCAGTGGGTGGTGAGGAATTATGCTGATGGAGTGTATTTAACCCATTGGACAAATAGTTGCCTCAGTGTGATTAAGTTTAAGAAGATTCTACAGTAGGGGCATCTGGGTGGCTCAGTCGGTTAAGCATCTGACTTCGACTCAGGTCATGATCCCAGGGGTCTTGGGATCAAGCCCCACATCAGGCTCTGTGCTGAGCAGGGAGTCTGTCCATCTCCTTCTCCCTCTCCCCAGTTTGTGCTCTGTCTCTCAGATAAATAAATAAAATCTTTAAAAAAAAAAAAAAAAGACTTGGGTTGCCTGGGTATCTCAGTTAGGTAAGCATCTGCTTTCCATTCAGGTCATGATCCCAGGGTCTTGGGATTGAACCCAGCTTGGGCTCCTGCTCAACAGGGAGCCTACTTCTCCCTATTCCTCTGCCTGCCATTCCCCTTGCTTGTGTCAAATAAGTAAAATCTTTTAAAAAAAAAAAAGACTCAAAAGTAGACAATTTGCTAGAAAAGCTGCAAGAAACAAATGTTTTTGGAATAACACTGAGAATTCAGCATCAATTAATAGTATCTGAGTTCAACAAATACTTTTTTTTAGCTATTGTGAAGATCAGTTGTTATAAAATTTCAGTAGTGATTTTTTAAATGGCATGAATTATAAGATGATATCCACAAATATTCACAAATTAATGGTATTGGAAGGGAAAAAAAGAATATATTAAAAAATTTTAGGAATTGAGATTTTGCTGCTTATCACTCATGATTGTGTTTGAATCTTTTTTCAGGTGACTCTATTAGTGACCCATTTATCCCCCGAACTACCCAGATACTGTTGGAATATCAACTAGGGAGATGGGTGCCACGTCTTCGTGAACCACGAGATTTATATGGTGTTTCTTCTTCTGGTCCACTGAGCCCAACACGGTGGCCATACCACTGTGAAGTCATTGATGAAAAGGTCCAGCATATTGGTATGTTCTTAATTTTTGGAATTCAAATTTTAGCAAACTTACTTTGCCAACCTTAATTTTAATGAGGAAACTCATGGTCTTAGATTAGTACGTTCCAATAGGAATGTGGGATCCAAAGCCCCAAGTAGACAGATGACTCTTATCAAGCAACCTATGGAACAGGAAAATATTTGCAAACCACATATATGATAAGAGGTTAATCTCTAAAATACATGAAGAATTTCTATAACTCAGTAGCAAAAACAGTAATAACTAAATTTAAAAACAGACTGAGGACTTGAATAGACATTTCTCCAAAGAAGACATACAAACGGCCAACAGGTGCATTTATTGGCTTTTTATGTCAACTGTCTGATAAAATCCTTTGCACATTTTATGATTTGTTGTACTTATTGTCATCTTCTTGATCAGTGTTTTCTATGTAGTTAGATCAGCTTACTGTGTCATATATATTGCATACTTTTTTCAGTTTGTCATTTGCCTTTTATCTTTAGCATGCAGAATTTTTAAATTTTTATGTAATCATTTTGTCTATCACTTTTTGTGGCTTCTGGGTTTTGAAATTCTCATGTTTCTCTTAGTTCTATTCAAATTGTGATTAAAGTTTTCATCCGGGATCCCTGGGTGGCGCAGCGGTTTGGTGCCTGCCCTTGGCCCAGGGCGCGATCCTGGAGACCCGGGATCGAATCCCACGTCGGGCTCCCTGCATGGAGCCTGCTTCCCCCTCTGCCTGTCTCTGCCTCTCTCTCTCTCTCTGTGTGTGACTATCATAAAATAAATTAAAAAAAATTAAAGTTTTCATCCATCCCCAGGACATTTTGGTACAAGAACAAGCTCTCATTCCAGTTCTGTTAACCATCTGGCCACTTGTTTAAAAAATTATTATTTTTTGTAAGCTGGTTGGAAATGCCACAATTAGTGCTAAACTTTTAGGTCTAATTTTGAATTTTATTCTATTCTGTTGACTTATCAATATTATGGCATGAATTTTAAAGCTTTAAGCTAAAGCTTTAAAACTACAAACTTTGTTATATAATAAACTTAGTTCACACTATTACTTTATTTTTTCAAAAATTTTCCATTTTTTAGGCTACTTCTACCAAGACGTTTCTCCAAAGATAAATGTGGCCAATAAACACATGAAAAGAGGGGATCCCTGGGTGGCTTAGTGGTTTGGCGCCTGCCTTTGGCCCAGGGCGTCATCCTGGAGTCCTGGGATTGAGTCCCGCGTCAGGCTCCCGGCGTGGAGCCTGCTTCTCCCTCTGCCTGTGTCTCTGCCTCTCTCTCTCTCTCTCTCTGTCTATGTCTATCATAAATAAATAAATCTTAAAAAAAACACATGAAAAGATATTCAATATCTTTAGTCATCAGAGAAAAGCTAATTAATACCACACTGAAATAACACTTTACAGCCACTGGGATGACTGGGATCAAGGTCTGATAACATGTGTTGATGAGAAATAAAACATATGCCCTCCAAAAAACTTATGTGTACTTGTTAATATGGCAACATTGTTCACAATAGCCAAAAGGAGACACCCAAATGTCCCTCAGTGGATGAGTACTATGCCGTGGAAGTCAGAGGAGACTACATTTTACACTTTAACTTAAACTAAGCATTGTTGACTGTATGGAGCATAACCTGCTGGTGGGTGTATACATTGGTTGACAGCTTTGCATTGTCAACTAAAAGTTAAGTTATGTATGTCCTAAAATTTAGAATTCTTACCTCAGGATCTATACCCAAGAGATTTGTGGGCACATGGGCTCCAAGGAACATGTATAAAGCTTTTCATAGCAACACTGTTCTAAATAGCCCCAATCTGAAACAACCTGATACCCATTATAAGTAGAAATGGATAAATTGGAGCACTTTTATGTAGCATTTTAATGTATTCTATAGCAATAGAAAAGAACACATTACAGCAACACACCACAAGATGGATTGATTTCACAAATATGTGAAAAGCAGAGAAGAATATGTATTATGTAATTCAACTTATGTAAGTATAAAAATAGGCAAAACAAAGCTATAGTTTCATATCAATAATTATGTAGATGTATTTATGAATATATATATGAATACTCAGATTATAAAATTATAAAGGCAAATGAAGAAGTAATTACATTATAGTAAGGTCAATGGTTATATTTCAAAGGGAAGAAGAAATAAATGATTAGAAGGGGGTATGAGTGGAGATCCGAGGGGCTGGCAATGTAATAGATCTTGATCTAAGTGATATATGCTTTGTGATAAAGCAACAGAACTGTATTTCTTTGGTTTTGTACTTCTCATAAGTATGATTCCTCATAAAGGTTTTGTTTAAATATTTGGTTTATTTCAGGCCATGTGAGTTATGGGTAGAAGTATGTTTCAGTAGATTTTAAAAATGAGCACAAATAATTGGTAAAAAAAAGTATTTCATAATAGAATCTGGAAATAGACTAGCACATTTAGACCAAATTATTTTTTATAAAGTCACCAAAGCCATCCAGTGGAGATAAGTCTTTTTAATAATTAATACTGTAACAACCTGGTGTCCATGTAGCAAAAACAATAAACCTTGACCTGTACCCCTCTCAGCACACAAAAAATTAATTCAAGATAGATCATAGGCCTGGGCAGCCCGGGTGGCTCAACGGTTTAGTGCTGCCTTCGGCCCAGGGCGTGATCCTGGAGACCTGGGATTGAGTCCCACGTTGGGCTCCATGCATGGAGTCTGCTTCTCCCTCTGCCTGTGTCTCTGCCTCTGTGTGTGTGTGTCATGAATAAATAAATAAAATTTTTTTTAAAAGTTGAAAAAAATAAGATAAATCACAGGCCTAAATGTCAAAGTTAACATCATAATGCTCCTTGAAGAAAACATAGGACAGTATCTTCATAATCATAGGATATGAACAGTTCTAGAGAGGACCCAGAAAGGAAAAAGAAACAATAAAAATAAGTTAGACTTCATCAAAATTTAAAACTTCTCATCAAAAGACATATTTAACAAAATGAAAAGGGGGGAATCCCTGGGTGGTGCAGCGGTTTGGCGCCTGCCTTTGGCCCAGGGCGCGATCCTGGAGACCCGGGATTGAATCCCACGTTGGGCTCCCGGTGCATGGAGCCTGCTTCTCCCTCTGCCTGTGTCTCTGCCTCTCTCTCTCTCTCTCTCTCTCTGTGTGTGACTATCATAAATAAATAAAAAATTAAAAAAAAAGAAAAGGCAAGCCACAGTCTAAGAAAATATTACTGGCACATACCTGACAACATGGGTGCAAACTATACGAAAAATCCCTACAAACCAATAATAAAATGAAAACTAATTAAAAATGAGCAAAAGAGTTGAATAGATATTGCTCAAAGGGGAAGACATATAATGGCTGATAAATGTGGAAAAAATATTAAACATGGGAAATGAAAATGAAAATCGCAGTGAGATACCACTTTACAGGAGGATGGCAGAGTTTTTAAAAATTTTAAAGGCTGACAACTCCAAATATTAGAATGTAGAACTGGAACTAGAGTTGGTATGAGTGTAAAATTGTGCAACCACTTTGAAAAAAGGTTCAGCAATTTGTTTCCTTTCTAATAAAAGAGAATGGACATCTGTGTATTTGTCAAAACTCATTGAACATACAATAAAGATTTGTACATTGCGTTATATGTAATATGTAAATTTTAGAGCAATAGCATGCAAGTATTGACCTAGGTCTCAAAAGTCTTTGTGTACTTCTGCTTTCTCTTAAACCCTATCCAGCTACCATGGAACAATCCATAGCTAGCTTGCTGGATAGTTGAAAGAGAGAAAGCCTGGATAGTTAAGCCCTGCGTGAAACACTAAATTTTAGCCTAGATATACCAATGAATAGTTTGAAAATATACAATAAAAATTTCCCATTTTATTTTGAAGTAGTATTCAAACAAAGTTTTCTCTTTTCTCCCCAGATTGGGCTCCTTCTTATCCTGAGCCAGTGTACACCCCAACAGGCCTAGAGATGGAACCCCTTTATCCAAATTCCAAGGAAGATACTGTGGTTTATCTAGCTGAAGATGGTGGGTACATAATGAGACATGTTGCTATAAAATATAATTTGGTACCTGGATTCATCCCTTAATTATATTTGCTTTACTATTTATAATGGAAACTACAGATTACCAGGAAGTCCTGATCTCTATCAAGATGTTTGGTTACAGATTGATTCAGATGTGGATTTAGTGCTAATTGTATTCTTGAAGGTGTACTGCAGTTTATGCAAAGTTACTTTAAAATGAAATATATTGCTCACTACAATGGAGGATTATATTTAGAAGGAATTATGCTTCATGTCAGTTTTCAAAGATAAATCCAGGGTAGTGTTCTACAACTATCGTTGCCTCTCTATTCATAGGTCACATTCATGAAATCTTCCAGATGACTTTTTGTTTTGTGCCAGTTTGATGCTTTCTTGAGATTGCACCTTTAAAAGGGTTTCAAAAATACCCTACCCTGCAACTAATATCTAAGATTATATTTCAGGACAGTGTTCTTAACGGCCGGGATCAATATTTGTACTTTGAGAACTCTAGTAATGCAAAATCTCATATCTGTTTTATGATAGTATGTAATAATCAAACATAGGTGTCTCAGCCTATACTCTAAAAGTGTTTTATACTCTCAAACACTCTAGGGTGTTGCTCCTAAAGCACCCATGTAAGGAAGTAAGGGACTCTTGCACCATTTCACCATCAGAGTTCTATATCTTAGCGATAACTTCCAGAGAGTGTATATATATATATATATATATATATATATATATATATATATATTAAATAATATATATATATTATTTAAAAGGATGGCAAAACAGAAAATTTTAGCAGGATTGTTTCCTATGTAGTAAGCAATTCTAAAAATTATATACTCACATATTTTTTAACAACTAGAATAAAGACAAGCATCCCTGATTTTTTTATTTAATTTCAAATATTTACATGGCTAACCTGCCTTAGAACTTCCATATGTAACTTAAATAAGATCTGATAAAATATTAAAATAGTTGAGGTGAGTCAGTCAGGGTCTTGTCAAGAATGGGATGGCATACTTGGAGTAATTTAAGAAAGTTTAATGGGAGTATAATTACAAAAGTGGACAGAATTAAGGCAGACTAACAACGTTGGTAAAGCAGCATAGGACTGTCTATAGAGCAAAATCATTGTGTTTCCTAGGCCTGAGAGAGCCAGATGTGTAGTATTAGGAGAGGGAAGTCCCCAAACAACTGGATGTATAGAATTTTGGGTTCCTATTACTTTTTCTAAAGATTTTTTCTTTTTTAAATATTTATTTATTTATTTATTTATTTATTTATTTATTTGAGAGAGAGTGAGTGTGTGCACAAGTAGGGAGAAGGGCAGAGGAAGGGAGGGGGAGCAGACTCCCTATTGAGAAGGGAGCCCAACACAGGGCTTGATCTCAGGACCCTGAGATGATGACCGGAGCCGAACCCCAGAGTCAGATGCTTAACCAACTGAGCCCACAGGTACCCCTAAAGATTTTTTTCCTTAAAGATGTTCCATTGTCTTGTGACATTTACTGTCTTTATTAAAAAGACAACCATAATTTTTATCATTGTTCCCTCTATGTATGATGTGTCTTTTTCTCTCTGGCTGTTTTCAGCAATTTGACTATGATCTGCCTAGATTTGGATACCTTTATGTTTATCCTGCTTGATGTTTGCTGAACTTCGTAGGTCCATAGGTTAATAGAGTTGAGATTTTCAAATTTGAGACCTTTTCAGTCATTATTTCTTTTTTTCCATATTATTCTCTTCTGTCCTTTGGAATTCCAATTACACAGATGTGGGTTTCTAGCTATGTTTTACATGTCAGTGTACCTTTTTTTTTTTTCCTTCTCTGTCCTTGAGTTTGGATTAATTGTATTTAATTTTTCTTTTAGTTCAGAGAGTCTCTCTTTTGCAATATCCAATTTTTCTTAAAACCATCTAATCTTTAATTTCAGTTATTGTATATTTTATTTCTAGAATTTTCATTTGGTTCTTTTTTTGTAGTTTGGGAGGTTTTTTGAGACTATCTGCTTATTCATTATCTTTATCTTTTCCTTTAAGTCTTTAAATATATGTATATATATTCAAAGTCCTTTCTTAATCCCAACATCTGTATTATCTTGGGGTGTGTTGAAAGTGTGTGTGTGTGTGTGTGTGTGTGTGTGTGTCTGAACATGGATCATATTTTCCTTGCTTTTCTTTGTGTTTCATAATTTTTCTCAATCATATGCAGGACATTGTGAAAGATACCTAGTTGGAGTCTGTTCTTTTTAAAAATTATGCTGAATTTTGTTCCAGTAAGCAGCTAAATTGCTGGCAGATCATTTTACTTCCTTCAGCCTTGGTTTTGTTTTATTTTATTTTATATTATACTCTTTTATATTTAATTTTATTTTATTTATGTATCTGATCTGAAGGCAGTTGCTTAACCAACTGAACCACCCAGGCATCTTGGTTTTATTTTTATGTTTTTTATAAGGGCATATCTATTTTCCTTTTGTCTTAGTCATTTAGTTCTAGGTCATGGTCCTTACCCTTGGATGTGGTACTTATACCTAATATGCAGCCTTTCTGGAGTCGTGATTGAATGCCTGAGGTAGTCAACGAAGCCTTTCCATTCTGGATAGTTTAGAAGTACAGTATATTTTCTAGAATTGCATATCTAATATCTCAGTCCCACAGTAACTCACTCTTATCTTGCTGAGTCTTATCCTGTGTTTATATAGCCAAGCCCTTAGCCAAGGACCAGGGAACCACCACTGTAGACTGTTGAGGCCCTATGTAGCTTTCTTATCTCTGGTGTCCTGCCTCGTAAGTTTCAGCAGCCTTAAGCAACAATCTTGCCTCCTCAGCTCAGTAAGACTGCTCTACTATTTTTAAGTGCCACTTTTTAAAGATGTAGTTAGATGGTATTTCCAGGAAGAAAGGCTAGGGTTAGCCATGGCCTTATTTCATGTATTTATTTTTTTCAAACATTCTATATAGTTCTAGTCTGTGTGTTATCCATATATATGAAAACAATTCATTTTCTTTGGTCTAGTTTTATAGATATTTATAGTGAAAGGGCAAGTTCAGGACCAATTACTCCATAATAATCAGAAGCAGAATAAACATTTTTAATATGAGAAATACATGAAATTATTTGGGGCATTACTTTTCTAGTCTGAATACTCTTAGACTTTTGTATTTCAACAAATCTGTATGTTAGTGTCAAATTACTTTAAAATTTAAAATCTTTAGTGATACTTCAGTTATATTGTGGCTTCAAGCTCTCTATATATAGAATATATACTTTAGACATGGCTTGATATCTTTATGGTATCTTCTTCTATCATCAGCTTACAAGGAACCCTGTTTCGTGTATTCCCGAGTAGGGGGCAATCGAACACCCCTGAAGCAACCTGTGGATAACTATGACAATACTTTGACGTTTGAAGCAAGGTTTGAGAGTGGAAATCTACAGAAGGTAGTCAAAGTGTAGGTTTTAATTATTTTTATTTGAGGAGCTAGACCAACTACTTATTATTTTCTGTATTAGGTACATTAAAGTTTTAGTATTCACAAATGAACTGCAGTTCCTTGAAGTATGATGCAAATTAGAGACAGGTTCGAATTCTGGACTCAAATACTCTGAACCAGTTTCTATACTGTACATTTTTAATTTGCCGGTGTGAAATGTTATTCAGACACACGCACTGCTTCTCAAACTTTTTAATGGAATGGTGTTTGGGATGAATGTCCCGTAAAATATGTTTAGGAACATGTGTACTATCTAAGGTCATTCTTTAAAAAATTTTTACTATAAAAATATTTAAGTACAGAAAATAATACAGTTCTCCATTAACCATCATATACCCTTCACTAGATGCAACAGCTATGGTTTTGCATTATTCATTTCATCTATTCTTAGGTCACTGTTGATAACACACAGTACACACAAAGGAAGTACATAGTGCTGATGGAATAGAAGGTTACTTGGTAAAGAAAAAGTCACAACTAACCCAGTAAGACTGTGTGTGTATACGTGTATTAAACAAATGTATCAATAAAACTATTTTCACCTTTATTTAAGTATCCTCAGTGACTAAGTTTGGAGAATGCAAATAGTTACCAAATACAGTCCTTGGAGAGTTTCAAATTTTTAAATGTATGTGGTTATATTAATTTATATGTTTTAAACCTTTCTCAGTGATAGTGTTTCAGATCCTGAGACTGAATCCAATAGAAAACAGGAATATATATTTGAAGTAAAAAACAAAAAACAAAACATTGGACTTTGAGTTTCAAGAGCTCTTTAATCATTTCTTTTATAGGAAACATAATTGGGCTGAAATAAAGAATTTTTCATTAAATGCTCATTTTAATGTGCTCTCTTGAATTACAAAAAAATTAAAAGGCCTTTAGAAAATTAGCATAGAAGCAGTTTCACATCCAATAGAAGAGGAAATTTCAAAACTTTTATTACTTGCTATTGGATGCTGCCTAAATAAGCAGTTTCAGGGGAAAAAGGCTTTCTGCAAATAGGTAAAAGTAAAATAATCTTCCTTATTTAATTTAAATGTCATTTTTACATTTTTATGTGTTCTTTTTCCTTCTTTTTTGTGCATTAGGGCTGAATATGAATACCAGTTGACTGTGCGCCCTGACCTCTTCACAAATAAACATACCCAGTGGTACTATTTCCAAGTCACTAATACCCAAGCAGGAATAGTCTACAGATTCACTATAATCAATTTCACTAAGCCTGCTAGCCTTTACAATCGGGGCATGCGCCCACTGTTTTATTCTGAAAAAGATGCCAAGACTCATAATATTGGCTGGCAGAGAATAGGAGATCAAATCAAGTATTATAGGAACAACCAGGGACAAGATGGGCGCCATTATTTCTCTCTTACATGGACATTTCAGTTTCCACACAACAAAGATACCTGCTACTTTGCTCACTGCTATCCGTATACTTATACCAACTTGCAAGAATATCTTTCCAGTATCAGTCATGACTCAGCACAGTCAAAGTTTTGTAAAATACGTGTCTTGTGCCACACAATTGCTAGGAACATGGTGTACGTCTTAACAATCACTACTCCCTTGAAGAACACTGACTCAAGAAAGCGAAAGGCTGTGATTTTGACTGCCAGGGTACATCCAGGAGAAACCAACAGCTCTTGGATCATGAAAGGCTTCCTAGATTATATTTTAGGAGACTCAAGCGATGCGCAGTTGCTTCGGGACACTTTCATCTTCAAGGTGGTACCCATGCTGAATCCAGATGGTGTGATTGTGGGAAATTATCGTTGTTCCTTAGCTGGACGAGATTTAAATCGTAATTATACATCTCTCCTAAAGGAATCATTTCCTTCTGTTTGGTATACCCGGAACATGATCCGTAGGTAAAATAAGCCTCAGATAACCTCTCTGTTTATTTAGTAAACTCGGTAGTCAGATTTTCGCTTCCACAGCTCACTCATTTTACTCTAGCTTTTAAGATGGCTTAACTGATAATTAAACTCTGGCTACTTAATTCTTTGCTCGTTCGTTCCACTCTTCTTTCTGGCATTATGCCACTGGATTCACTAGCCTTTTCTTAAATAATGAATAAATTTCTAGAACATTTTAATGCTTTGTGAAACTAATAGTTAAATTTGCATATCCCAAATGTGATTTCTTGCTAAAGCTAAATGTAGCACTAATGTTTACTTTGGGATGCTTGAGTCTCTTACATGTAAAAATTAATTCTGTCTCACTGGGTCTGCTGGCACTATGTTGATCATACCTTGGTCTATGATGAGCATTTTTTTATTAAATTTTTAATTTTAAGTCCAGTATAGTTAACATACAATGTGAAATTAGTTTCAGATATACAATATAGTGATTCAGCAATTCTGTATATTATTCAGTGCTCATCATGATAAGTCTACTCTTTAACATAATAAGTCTTTTGACCATTAGGTTATATAGTTATTAAAACTTTGATGAATAATAGTCTTATATTCCCCCAGAAAAATTGAAGCTTTAAATTTTCCAAAGAATCTAGAACAGCAAATGCACATAATATATAAATATTTGTTGAATGGTTGAACTCTTTAATAGATTAAGATAATAACAATCAGGAATAGGCATGTGCTAGAACAAAAAGATTTATTAGAGTCACAGAACCCCATTCCAAGTCCAAAGCCTCAACTTTTTTGCTTAAGAGTGTGGAGTGGAGTTCAAATATCAGATTGGAATCCTTCTATATCATTTGCTAACTGTGACCTTGAGCAATTTAAAAACAATCTAAACCCCAGTTTTCTCATCTATAAAATGGTAATAATGATACTTAACACACAGGAGGATTAAATCAGAATATTATTAATAAAGTACCCCAAATAAAATATGGAACATTGAAAGTTCTAAATGTATTCAGGTCAGGGTTAGCTCAAATATAAAAAGAAAACAATGTTAATGAATCAGATACAGATGTAAAGATTCTGTAAACTATTTAGGATTATTCACATATTTACAAAAATAAGCACTATTATAGAGAGTGTTTATAGCTGATCCCATTTTGTTACCAGGGCCCCCAGTGCAAGAACAAGAACTCCGTTTCAGGGCTGAGGCCCTCTAGGATACCTCCAGTCCCTCATCCCTCAGAGGAGTTGACAGGCTTCAGAAACATGGAGAAGCATGACTCCATGCTTCTCAGTTCAGCCTCAACTTTCACTTCCATGTTAATCCTTTTATCTGCTTAGGCACAGAGGGAGTGAAGTACAGATCTCCACAGGAAACACTGAAAACTCTTGCTTTCATAAGCCTCATAAATTTGGACTCCAGGATTCCCGGCAGTTACCTGAGAAATGTTAAGTGATAAGAAACAAAAACAAACAAAAAAAAACCTAACAAAACCTGACTTCCTGATTTTCCTGGGGTTGGCAACAATAACCAAGAAGGCAAAGTGCAATGTGATATCCTAAGTTGGATTCTGGGACAGATAATAAGACGTTAGTAGCAAACTAGTGAAATCCATAAGATTGGGAGTTTAGTTACTAGCGGTGTACCAATGTTGGTTTCTTTGTTTTTGAACACTGTACCATGGTTATGTGATATGTTAACAGTAGGGGAAACTGGGCAAGGGGTATATGTTTATGCTCTACTACCTTTGCAAAGTTTGTGTACTCTAAAATTCCAAAATTAAAAAAAATCATAAGAAAGGGAGCTGATTAGAATATCTATAATGTCTACTTAGTGCTCTTCGACATTAAGGGTTTCTGGTCCAATAGAAGATGGATTATAGGCCAAGGCCCTTTGGCTTGTCTTTATGGAAAATACTTTAAATGTCTCCATTCTTCTCAGATTACCTTGTAAGGTTAAGGCAGAAATCTATTCAGTAAGTTTCAGAAAGACTTCCAAGAAAGAAAACTACCTTAATGCAATGAATCATAGGTAGGTAAGCAGAATAAGAAGTCACATATATGTGGGAAGGAAAGCAGCTGTAGGTATATCTAAGATTTAGTATATTTAAAGAATATGAGAATAAGAAAGTTTCAGTAAGTTTTAGTATAGGATGCTTAGTATAAGATACTTAGAATATCTTAACCTGTGGGTTAGAAAAAAGACCCAAGCCATTTCTCAAGTGATTTAAAATTCATGTAAAATTATAGAGACCCTTTGGAAGGATGTAATGACATATCTTTGGGAGTTACTCAGAAGTTTATTTGGACTTAAATGTAAGAAACTGAAAGATCATTTAAATTGGGGAAATACTGGTTTTAAAATGTTCAGCATATTTCATATTTAAGGCCCTAACTTGATAATCTTGCTTTATAATCCACTTATTTTTCTAAAAACTTGTAATGATCATTTAGTGGCTTTATGTCAGTTTTAGGTTATCAATTAGAATTTATTGGGCACCAGATGAGAAAAGGGTAATCAATTAATACATGTAACAGACCTCACGCTGGGATTTCACTGTAGTTTAAAGGAGTGTTATTCCTAATCGAAAACTATGCTTTGAATGTTTTGATTTTAAAATTAAAAAAAAAAAAATAAGAAAAAAAGGGATCCCTGGGTGGCGCAATGGTTTAGCACCTGCCTTTGGCCCAGGGCGTGATCCTGGAGACCCGGGATCGAATCCCACATCGGGCTCCCAGTTCATGGAGCCTGCTTCTCCCTCTGCCTGTGTCTCTGTCTCTCTCTCTCTCTGTGACTATCATAAATAAATAAAAATTTAAAAAAATGAATGTTTTTATTTTAGGTTTTAATATTTTTGTTTTAAAAGTAATACATTTAATATTACTACAAATACCATTGCTAACCTTTTGGTATTTATCCTTCCAGGCATAACAAATAGTATGTGTAATATTGATTATTTAAGTAATATAATACATCAAGTTTATAAATATGAAAAAAGGGGGGGCAAAAAATGCCCATCATCCTACCACCTTAACACCACTACTTTTTTAAAAAAATAAATTTATTTTTTATTGGTGTTCAATTGGTCAACATACAGAATAACACCCAGTGCTCATCCCATCAAGTGCCCCCCTCAGTGCCCGTCACCCAGTCACCCCCACCCCCCGCCCACCTCCCCTTCCACCACCCCTAGTTCGTTTCCGAGTTAGGAGTCTTTATGTTCTGTCTGCCTCCCTGATATTTCCCACTCATTTTTTCTCCTTTCCCCTTTATTCCCTTTCACTATTTTTTATATTCCCCAAATGAATGAGACCATACAATGTTTGTCCTTCTCCAATTGACTTATTTCACTCAGCATAATACCCTCCAGTTCCATCCACGTCGGAGCAAATGGTGGGTATTTGTCATTTCTAATGGCTGAGTAGTATTCCATTGTATACATAAACCACATCTTCTTTATAACACCACCACTTTTTTTTCCTTTTTTTTAAATAAATTAATTTTTATTGGTGTTCAATTTACCAACATACAGAATAACACCCAGTGCTCATCCTGTCAAGTGTCCCCCTCAGTGCCCGTCACCCATTCACCCCCACCCCCCGCCCTCCTCCCCCTCCACCACCCCTAGTTCGTTTCCCAGAGTTAGGAGTCCCCATGTTCTGTGTCCCTTTCTAATATTTCCCACACATTTCTTCTCCCTTCCCTTATATTCCCTTTCACTATTACTCATATTCCCCAAATGAATGAGAACATACACTGTCCTTCTCCGATTGACTTACTTCACTCAGCATAATACCCTCCAGTTCCATCCACATCGAAGCAAATGGTGGGTATTTGCCGTTTTAATGGCTGAGTAATATTCCATTGTATACATAAACCACATCTTCTTTATCCATTCATCTTTCGATGGACACCGAGGCTCCTTCCACAGTTTGGCTATTGTGGACATGGCTGCTAGAAACATTGGGGTGCAGGTGTCCCGGCGTTTCACTGCATCTGAATCTTTGGGGTAAATCCCCAACAGTGCAATTGCTGGGTCGTAGGGCAGGTCTATTTTTAACTCTTTGAGGAGCCTCCACACAGTTTTCCAGAGTGGCTGCACCAGTTCACATTCCCACCAACAGTGCAGGAGGGTTCCCTTTTCTCCGCATCCTCTCCAACATTTGTGGTTTCCTGCCTTGTTAATTTTCCCCATTCTCACTGGTGTGAGGTAACACCACCACTTTTTAAAAATCTTTTTAAAGCCTCTCAAAGTTACTTAATTAATTTTGAGTTAATTAATTAGTCAGTTTGGGGGGCTATTTTTATTGCTTTAATTTTCATTGAATGCGTAAGCTATGCAGACTAAGAAATGTATAATAATTTCCTTATTTATTAGAAATTTACCAGAAAAAATCCAAACTTTGTTACCATTTTTCTGAGTGATATTTACCACTTTAATTAAGGGTTATATAATAATTGGCTTCAGCACCAAGTTGTCAGGTAGCCAATTTTTAACAAATATTTGGGCACTTGTGTGCATAGCACTGTTCTAGGTGATTTAAAGCATTACTTATCCTTAACAAGATTAAATATCAAAAATATGAAAACTTTCCAAGGCAAGTGTCAAGGAAATCATAACTCCAATACTATGTGCTCCAAGAATACAAAAAAAGAAAGAAAGAAAGAAAAGAAAAGAAAGAAAGAAAGAAAGAAAAAAACAATAGTGAAAGGGAATAAAGGGGAAAGGAGAAAAAAATGAGTGGGAAATATCAGAAAGGGAGACAGGACATGAAAGACTCCTAACTCTGGGAAACGAACTAGGGGTGGTGGAAGGGGAGGTGGGCGGGGGGGGGGTGGGTAGGGGTGACTGGGTGACGGGCACTGAGGGGGGCACTTGATGGGATGAGCACTGGGTGTTATTCTATATGTTGGCAAATTGAACACCAATAAAAAATAAATTTATTGAAAAAAAGAGAAAAATCTGTGGTCTTAACTAGTTAGAAAGTGAGACATGAAGTCAGCCTTGAAGGCTGAGGGGCAGTGTTTGAACTCACAGAGATGAATAAAGAAGATATTCTAGTCAGAAAGAATCTCTGTGAAAGCTAATGGGCCAAGTAGGAGAGAACTGTTTTCTGTGTATAGTGGAAACCAGAATCATAAAGCAGAGGGATCCTGTTGGAGAGTCTTGGGAGTAAGGTAAATTTTGTCCTTATAATAGAAGGTAAGCATTCATATTTTATGTATGGCTAATAGGAAATTATTGTAGATGTCTTAAAATTGTTAATAATATGCAGTGTGGATAAGAGAAAGAAGTTGAAAGCAATGATATAAGAAATTCTGTTTATTTGGATTTTAGACTTGTAAATCCATAGTTACATGCATAGAAAAATGCAGAGGTAAAATTTATTACCTTGCTCCTTTTTTTTCTCGGTAGATTGATGGAGAAACGAGAGGTTATTTTATATTGTGACCTTCATGGCCATAGTAGAAAAAAGAACATCTTTATGTACAGCTGTGAAGGTAGTGATAGATGTAAAGCATTATACTTACAGCAGCGAATCTTTCCACTTATGCTAAGCAAAAATTGTCCAGATAAAGTAAGTACCATTTAAGATGATTAACTTTTCTTTTATTACATGTTGCCCATGTGAGACTGCAGGATAGATCACCTTATTCCGTAAACTGCTTTTTTTTTTTTATATATTTTGCCTGGCTTATACAATTGACCATAAAAAAGCAACTATGTGGAATGTTTAATGACCAATAATTTGAAAATGTGAAGAAAAATATGTGCCTTGTCCTACCACCATACCTAATGATGGAAGACTGTTTTCCTCCTAAGGTCAGAAATAAGGCCAGTATAGCCACCCTAACCCCTTCAGTTTAGCCTTATGCTGGAGGTTCAAGTGCTGAAAGGCAACAGAAAGAAATAATAGACAGACACTCTGGAATAAAGATGGTATGATTTTCTTCATAGAAAACCCAAAGCAATGCACCAGAAAAACCTCCTAGAACTAATAAGTAGGTTTAGCAATGTCCTACACAACAAGGTCCACCCTCAGAAACGAACTACATTTCTATATACACACTGAACAACTAGAAACCAAAACTGAAAAAAATATAATTTACTGTAGCTTTAAAATAAATTAAACACTTGTGACTGCAAAGGAATAACACAGGGAGTTTTTTTTTAGAGGTAATGGAATTGTCCTATATCCTGAGTGTGATAGTAGTTACACAAATCTACACAATGTGTCAGACACATAGAGTGAAACACAAGCTAATTTTATTGTAAATAAAATTGCAAAACTTTATAGATACTGACATTCTAACAATCTTTCAGGACAGCTTTCCAATGATTTAAGCTTGTGAAAATAAAACATCCTTATTCTATTCAAAACATCTACATTAATCTTTATTCCTAACCATTTAAGCCCTTTCATATAAGTTTTTTAAAGTATAAGAGCTTATCCCAACAGTATCAAGAATTAATCAGTGGGGTTTGAATGCATATGTCATATATAAAAAGTAAAACGTATTGCTGGCATTCAAATCTGTACTTCTGAGAAATGTAAATATGTCATCCTCAAAATGAGGGATTTCCACTGGTTTGGAAATAAAAGCAGCCCCTGAAGCTTTAGAGAGAATTACTGCTTTTGTACTACTTTCTCATTTTCAACCCTACTTCCTGAGGAAGACCTTGTACTCAGAAAAACACGTTTTCTCATTTTTATTCGCTTCTTTTTAGTTTTCGTTCTCAGCTTGCAAGTTTAATGTCCAGAAGAGCAAAGAGGGAACAGGCAGGGTAGTAATGTGGAAAATGGGAATCAAAAACAGCTTTACCATGGAGGCTACTTTTTGTGGATCTACCCTGGGTAAGACCAAGTGCTCTCATTCATGGCTCTCAGAGCTTTACACCAAAGAAACATTTTTAATGTGAGGTTAATAATGTGGACAGTGTGACAGTGAGCACTTTCCTCCTACTTAAATGCATGCTGGTGTCCAATCACATGTTTATATATAAGGTAGGATGAATAAACAAACTACCATTCTGTGTATCTCCAGCTCATCATTTCCCTTGGTTTAGAAAAGGAAACATTAGCATATGGAGAATACCTAACTGGTTATACCATGAACTAATCTTTAGTTACTTGTTTTCGTTTTGTTTTTAAGAAGGAGTCCTTACAGATGACTTGTGATTTCAAGCAATGCTCACTCATATGTAAAACATCAGAAATGTTTGGGCTTTTTTTTATTTTAAGATTTTATTTTATTTATTCGACAGAGAGAGAGAGAGAGAGCACAAATAAGGGGAGCAGGCAAAGGGAGAGGGAGAAGCAGGCTTCTCTCCCAGCAGGGAGCCTACTGCAGTACTTCATTCCAGTCCTGGGATCCTGACCTGAGCCAAAAGCAGACATTCAAGCTCAACCAACTGAGCCACCCAGATGCCTCAGTATAGAAATGTTTTTAGTGGATTTGCTATTTGCAAGTCAGATTTGCTATTTGTTGGTGGTTCTTTGAGAGAGCCAGTTTATATTTTAACAGAAGGACTCAGTTCTTTTAACTAAAAATAAAAATGTGCTCTCTGTTTCCATTTGAGAAATCTTTTAGTCACATCCAGTTTACCCTTAGAATATTCCATATTAAGATATTGTTATATTTTTAGAAAATTTATTGACTCAAAGGCAAGTGCTAGTAATCCACATACATAATTTGTTTTTTAAAGCACCTGAAACTGGGCGGCCCTGGTGGCTCAGCAGTTTAGTGCCGCCTTCAGCCCAGGGCATGATCCTGGAGACCTGGGATCAAGTCCCACGTCCGGCTCCCTGCCTGGAGCCTGCTTCTCCCTCTGCCTGTGTCTCTGCCTCTCTCTGTGTGTCTCTCATGAATAAATAAATAAAGTGTTTAAAAAAATAAAAATAAAGCACCTGAAACTGATAAAACATTATCTATGATGATGAAAACATTAAAATATTTACCCAAGTTTTTCACTAAGTGATTATGAGTGAGTTTATAGCTGGTAACCAAGTATTCCATAATTCCTGATTAAATTTTCTTCTGCCTTACAACATAAACTAGTCAGCTTTGATCCAGGCATGGGGAGGGAATGAGAGAAAGCAATAAGCTGTTAAATGACCTGACCTAGAGAAGAAAATCCAAAGGACAGGATACAGAATCATATTAGATGTTTTGTTTATTTATACTCTCTGTTGTGCCACTTAGGCCTACCTGTTAAGGACAAATGATTAACTCATTCTCAGTGGTGGATAAACCTATTGATGTTTTAGGTAATAAACGGGGCACTCATTTCAACACAAAAGACTTGGAGTCAATGGGATATCATTTTTGTGATTCTCTCTTGGACTATTGTGATCCAGACCGAACCAAGGTAAGCAAAGTCCATTTGCTAAAGCATCAAACTCCAGTTTATCAGATAACATAACCTAACTCTAAGGGCCAATGGCAGTTTTTCTTTTAATATCCGACCAGTGTTTGAGGTTTCTGGTACTTGATAGCCGCCTAGCTATGATTCCAGATATCTAGAAATATTCAATTAGTTTAATTAGGAAATGGAGTTAATTTATAATTAATTTATCATTTTCCCCTAGTATTATCAGTGCCTGAAAGAATTAGAAGAAATGGAAAAACACATAAACTTGGAAAAAATCCTTGAGGATTCAGATACTTCTCTAAAAGAAATTACATTGGATATAGAGTCTAGGTAAGTCAAGATGGTGAATGTAATATAACTTGTGCTCTTTTACTGTGCTCTTTATAACAGTAGGACATAAAATTCTCAGTCTCAATGAAAATCCCAGCTATAGCTGGAGGAAAATTTTTTTCATGCAGTTTACTTTGGCCTGACTTCATCAAGACTTCAGTTATTTAGTCAAGTAATATTAATTGAGCACCTATTATGTACTGTATGTGAAAGACATACTCCAATTTTTAAATTTTTATGTTTAATATATTTTTTTAATAAAAATTTTATTTATTTATTCATGAGAGACATAGAGAGAGAGAGAGGCAGAGACATAGGCAGAAGAAGAAGCAGACTCCATGCAGGGAGTCCGATGTGGGACTCGATCCCAGGACTCCAGGATCATGCCTTGGGCCAAAGGCAGATGCTCAACTGCTGAGCCACCCGGGCATCCCAAGAGATTTTTAATTATATGAGAGGAAGAGTGAGCAAGCAAGAGAGAGTGCATGAACTGAGGGAGGGGCAAAGGGAGAGGGAGAAGCAGGCTCCCTGCTCAGCTTGATCCCAGGACCCCAGGATCACAACCTGAGCCAAAGGTGGATGATTTACCAAAAGAGCCACCCAGGCACCCCCTCAAATTGTTTTTAATGCTGACATTACTCACAGAGAATTGACACATTTATAGAGATGCCACTACATACTCCAAATTAGTGAATAATAAATGCAAAATGTAATGCTAAGGGAATGTTGTTGGAAAAATAAAGGTACTAATTTCATACAGTTTCCTGTAGGAAAGACAAAACAAATATTTGATTCTTTTCCTCTCCTTATAAATTTTTCAGACTTTGAATTAGTGCCCCTGCAACCCCCAGAGGTGACTAATAAGTGTGTTTGCAGATGGAAAGTATCATTTTGAACTCATGGATTTGTTTATTTTGATGTGTTCCAACTTCAGTTGTTCTTCTAATACTCTAAGATGCCTAGAACTATCAGACATTTACACTTTATAATATTTACAAATTCTTCTGTAATGTTTACCTTTGTAAACATTCTTTTTATAATTAGAACCATTTCTACCATTACAATAATAGGATAAAAGTTACAGCTGAAATTTTAAAATGCCACCAAAATATTGCTATCTATTTTTTATACTTATAGAATTAAATTGATAAATAAAATTGTAAATATAAATAAAATATAATTATAAATAATAATTAAAACAATTTGATAATTATTACATCAAAATTATTTATTATTATTTTTTTGTAGTAGCCGAGGCTCTGACAGTTCAGAATCCAATGAGTCTCAGAATTATCTTCTCAAATTAACTTCTCAGGTATGATTGAAAATTTCTGCCTATTATATGGATATACTAAGTAGGTACTTATTGTGACTAGCAATCTGACAAAAGAAATGCTTGCAGTTGTGTAATTATTGTATAGCAAGAATTATTAGTTTTTTGATTATGGAATATATCTTTAAGTCATAGAATTTTCTAACCTTAGGATTTTTAACACCCTTACTCTAAAGATCCAGAAGATTATTTCTCAAAAGCCACACCACTTGTTAATGAGAGGTGGTAGCATAACATACATCACCTTACTGCAAATCCAATGTTCATTTATTCATTTATTTAATGACTATATATTGAGCTTCAGCTGTGCTGGGGATATAGCAGTGAACAACAAAATGAGACAAAAATCCTCTTTCATTGCTTATATTCTAATTGGTAGAAATAAAAAATAATGAGAAATAAGTAAAATATATGATGTGTTAGGTAATGATAGGTGCCTAATGAGGAAATTAGGAGGAGTAGGGATTGCAGGCGGTGTTAGGTAACCGAATGTTTATGCCCTCACCAAATATGTATGTTGAAACCCTAACCTACAACATGATGGTATTAGGAGGTGACCAAGACAAACTAGGGCGCTGCTCTCTCAGTACCAAGTGTGTGGTGCTGCTGTAACAAATACCTAAAACCGTGGAACTGGCTTTGGAACTGGATAATGGGTAGAGGCTGGCGGAGTTTTGAAGTGCGTGTTAGAAAATGCTAATATTGCCACGAAGGGACTTCTAAAGGTGATTCTGGCAAGAGCTCCCAAAGAAGAGGGGGAGCAAGTTTCCATCTTAAAGAATACACAAATAATCATGTACTGAACATTGGCATAAATATGAATATTAAGGGTGATTTTCATGAGGTCTCAGATGGAAATGAACATGTTATTGGCTGATGGAGAAAATTTCAATCCTCACCACAAAATGGTAAAGAATTTGGCTGAATTGTGTTTTAGTGTCTTATGGAAGGTAGAACTTGTGAGTGATAAAAGTGAATATTTAGCTGAGAAGATTTCTTTGTAAAGTGTTGAAGAGCAACTTGATTCCTCCCAACTGCTGATAGTAAAAGTACAAGGAGAGATAAATGAAGAAGGAATTGTTGGGCAGAGAGGAACCAGAAAGTGAAGCTTTAAACAATTCTCATGCTGCCATATTACAAAAAATAAGAATGTGTTTTCAGAACATGAGAGACTCATAACTCTGGGAAATGAACTAGATGGGGTGGGGGTGACTGGGTGACGGGCACTGAGGGGGGCACTTGATGGGATGAGCACTGGGGAGTTATGCTCTATGTTGGCAAATTGAACACCTATAAAAAATAAATTTATATTAAAAAATAAAAATAAATAAATAAATAAAAGAATGTGTCTTCAGAAGAGAAGAATGTAGAGGATCAACTATTTGTTAAAGAAGTCAGTGTGTAAAAAAAAAAAAAAAAAGAAGTCAGTGTGTGTGTGAACCACAGAACCAATCAGCCACCCCATCAGGGAAACTGCCAGTTTGCACTGAAGGGCTTGGAGAGAGGACAGAGTGAAGGAAGGCTGTCATGCTCCTTGAATTTTACCGGACAGTATCATAGATCCATTTCCAAAAGTGCAATGTTCTGCAAAACAATAAAAAAGAAGGCCTCAGAGGTAGCTTAGAGGTTATCAGGGCCACTACCACCTAGATTTCAACAGGATAGATGGCCTGCAATTGAGGCCAACAGGATATGATGGCAGGCTGCCTGGAGCCATGAGCTACATTGTAGGCAGTGCCCCTGGCAGAGAGCCAGGCATGAGCAGCACCCTGTCAAGCTGTGAGGGTGACGTTGACACCCCAGTAGGTCCAGAAGGCAGAGCATTGAGTTAGTGAGGACTATTGTTGAGCCTTGAGATCTTGTCGACTTTGTCTTGACAGATTTTAATTTATTTGGGACCCATCACTTCATCCTTATTTTTCTTTTTCTCCCTTTGGGAATGTCTGTCCTGTACCTGTCCCACCACTGTATTTTGGGAAGCACATAACTTGTTGGAATGGAATGGGGTGGAATGAATACATTTTTCGTGAGAGAAGAACTTGAATCTGAGGGCCCAGGAACAGAATGCTATGCCTGAATATTTCTGTCTCCCCTAAATTCATATGTTGAAGTCATCGTGCCCAATATGATGGTACTAGAAGGTGGGCCCCTTAGGTCATGTGGGCAGAGCCCTCTAATTGGGATTAGTACCTTATAAAAGAGGCTTCAGAGAGACCCCTAGTCCCTTCTGCCATGTGAGGATACAATGAGAAGTATCCTTCTCAAAAGCCACACCACTCACCTGACCATACTAACACACTGATCTCAACCTTTTCCCAGTAGAACTATGAGAAAGAAATTTCCATTATTTCCAGCCAACCAGTCTGTGGTATTTTGTTATAGCAGCTGAATGGAATAAGACAGATGTATTAGTTTTCTATTGCTGAGTAACAAATTACCCCCAAGCAGCAGCTTCAAACAACAAATACTTATTATCACACCATTTCTGTGATACAGGGGTTTAGGAGTGGCTTTGCTGGGTGCTTCTGTCTAAGGTGTCTCAAAAGATTGCAGTGAAGGTGTTGGTTAGGCTCTGGTCTCATCTGAAGGCTTGAGTGAAGAAGGGGATCCGCTTTTAATCTCACATACATAATTGTTGACAAAATTCAGTTCTCTGGAGGCCATTGGGATGAAGACCTCAGTCCCTGATTGGCTGTTGGCCTTTAGTAGACTATCCAATAAGTCACTGCCACATTCAATGTTGCCAAATTTTGTTCTATGTTTTTTCTAGGAGTTTTATCCTTTTAGGTCTTACTTACAATTTTGAGTTAATTTCTTTAATTGTATTTATTTATTCATGAGAGGCAGAGAGGCAGAGACACAGGCAGAGGGAGAAGCAGGCTCCATGCAGGGAGCCCAGTGGGGGATTCGATCCCAGGATCACACCCTGAGTGGAAGGCAGACACTCAACCGCTGAGCCACCCAGGTGTCCCATGAGTTCATTTTTGTATTTAGTATTGGGCAAGGGTCCAATTTCATTCTTTTGCAAGTGAATATCCAGGTTCCTGAGCACCATCAGTTGAGAAGACTGTCCTTTCCCCCATTGAATGGTTTTGGCACCCTTGTCAAAAATCATTTGACCATGGGCAGCCCAGGTGGCTCAGTGGTTTAGCGCTGCCTTCAGCCAAAGGCGTGATCCTGGAGCCCCAGGATCGAGTCCTACATCAGGCTCCCTGCATGGAGCCTGCTTCTCCCTCTGCCTGTGTCTGTTCCATTCTCTCTCTCTCTCTCTCTCTCTCTCTCTCTCTGTCTCTCGTGAATAAATAAATAAAATCTTTCCAAAAAATCATTAGACTATTTTTGCAGGGATTTATTTATGGGCTCTTTATTCCTTTTCATTGATCTGTATGTCTGTCTTTATGCCAATACCACACTGATTTGATTACTATAGCTATGTAGTAAATTTTGAAATCAGAAAATACAAACCTTCCAGTTTTGTTGCTTTTTTTTTTTCAAGATTATTTTGGCTATTTGGGGATTCATATATTAGAATATTAGAATGGATTTTTCTTTCTGCAAAAAAAGTGTCATTGGGATTTTATTTAATTAAATCCATAGGTTTCTTTGGGTAGTACTAATATTTTAATACAATTAAGGCTTCCACTTCACGAACAAGAGGTACACTTTCATTTATTTATGTCTTTTTTCTTTCAGTAGTATTTTGTAGTTTTCATTGTATAATTCTTTCACCTCCTTGATTAATTCTTAAGTATTTTATTCTTTTTGATACTATTGTACATGTGATTTTTTGTAATTTCTTTTTTCAAATTATTTTGTGTATAGAAATGCAATTGATTTTTGAATGTTGACTTTGTATCCTGCTACATTGCTGATTTAATTTATTAGTTCAGATAGATTCTTTGTGGAATCTTTAGGATTTTTAAAATATAAGATCATGTCATCTACAGAAATCATTTTCTTATTTTCCCATTTCAATGCCTTTTATAAAGTTTTCATGCTTAATTGCTCTGGCTAGAATTTCCAGCATTCTGTTGAATAGAAGTGATAAAAACAAACATCCCTACCTTGTTCCTGACCTCAAAAGAAATGATTTCATCCTTCATCATTGAACATAATGTTAGCAGTAGGTTTTTCATACATGGCTTTTATTGTGTTGAGGTAGTTTCTTTCTATGACTTGTTTGAGTTTTTAAGATTTTATTTGTTTATTCATAAGAGAGAGAGAGAGAGAGAGAGAGAGGCAGAGTCACAGGCAAAGGAAGAATCAGGCTCCATGAAGGGAGCCTGATGTGGGACTCGATCCCAGATCTCCAGGATCAGGCCCTGGGTTGGAGGCAGCACTAAACCACTGAGCCACCTGGGCTGCCTGTGTTTGGGATTTTTTAATCATGAAATGGTGTTGGATTTTGTCAAATACCTTTTTTCCATCAATTGAGATAGTCATATGGGTTTTTTTTTCCTTCATTCTGTTGATGTGGTGTTTGACATTGATCAATTTGGTATATTGAGCCATCCTTGCATTCCAGGAATAAATCCTATTTGGTCAGTATGTACGTCCTTTTAATATGCTGCTGAATTTAATTTGCTAGTATTTTGTTGAGGATTTTTTACATTAATGTTCATAAGAGAGACTTGTCTATAATTTTTTTTCTTGTAGTGTCTGTCTGGCTTTGGTAGTAGAATAATGCTGACCTCATATAATGAGTTATAGGAAGTTTTCCATCCTCTTCAGGTTTTTTTCCTAAGATTTTATTTATTTATTCACGAGAGGAGGGGGTGGCAAAGACACAGGCAGAGGGAGAAGCAGGCTCCATGCAGGGAGCCCAACATGGGACTCGATCCCGGGACCCCAGGATCACGCCCCAGGCCGAAGGCAGGCATTAAACCGCTGAGCCACCCTGGGATCCCCCATCCTCTTCAGTTTTTTTAGAGAATTTTGAGAAGGACTGGTATTAGTTCTTCTTTAAATGTTTGGTAGAATTCTCCCATGAAGTCATCAAATCTAGGGTTTGTTGTTGCTGGGAGATTTTTGATTACTGATTCAAATTTTCTTTCTTTGTGATATAGTCTTACTAGGTTTTGTATTTCTAAGAATTTGTCCATTTCATCTAGGTTATCTAATTGTTGGCATATAATTGTTAATAGTGAGTCTTAATAGATTTTTTAAAGATAGCTATCTTACAAATACCTTCTCTGATCACAACAGGATGAAACTGCATTAATAACTGGTTCCTTTCTTTTACATATATTAGTCTCTTAAATTATATGGAAAACAAAAACTACTCTTAAAACCATTGTTACAAAAATATACTAGCTTTTATAATGCCCTGTGTTGTTACCTTGAGATCTTAATTTCACTCTACAGTTTCAAGTTAGCGTCCATTGTCTTTTCATTTCACCTTGCATGACACCCTTGAGCATTTCTTGCAGAATGTGTCTAGTGGCCACAAACAAAAGCTGAGTGAGTTCATCTGGGAATGTGTTAATTTCTTCTTAACCTTTGAAGGACAATTATAACATTGTTGAACACTTTGAATATGTTGGTGCCCTATCTTCTGGGCTCCAAAGTTTCTGATGAGAAATCTACTAATAATCTTTGTTTTAAGATTTACCTTAGAGAGAAAGAGAATGTGTGCCAGAGGAGGGGCAAAGGAAGAGAATCTTCAAGCAGACTCTGCACTGAGGACAGAGCCTGATGCGGGGTCAGTCTCATGATCCTGAGATCATGACCTGAGCTGAAACCAAGAGTCTGAGGCTTAACCAACTGAGCTATCCAGGCACCTGGAGAAACCTATTAATAATTTTATTAGGATTCTTGAATGTAACAATTTGCTTTTCTCTTGCTACTTTCAAGATTCTCTATCTTTGAAAGTTTGGTTATAATGTGTTTCATCATAGGTTTTTTAATTCATCTTACTTGGAGTTCATTGAGCTGCTTGGATATTTACATTTATGTCTTTCATCAAATTTGGGAAGTTTTCAACATTATTTCCTCACTCATTAGCACTTCTTTTTTTAAGATTTTATTTATTTATTCATGAGAGAGAGAGGCAGAGACACAAGCAGAGGGAGAAGCAGTCTCCACGCAAAGAGCCTGATGTGGGACCCAATCCCAGAACTCTGGGATCACGACCTAAGCCAAAGGCAGATGCTTAACTGCTAAGCCACCCACGTGCCCCTCGTTAGCACTTCTGGGTTGCTGGTTCTCCAGCTCAAAAGCTGGGATATATGAAGTGAAAACAAAACACAGGATCTACTTACCATCCTGCTGCTCCTCTGTTCCTGATGAGGTCCCTTACCAGTCTGCCTTCTTCTTTCTACTTTTTAAAGTTTCTTATGTTTATTTTGTATATAATACCCAGGGTTTTTAGTTGTACATAGTGAGAAGAATAGAAAAAGTACTTTGTCTTCCTAGAACTAGAAGTCTCAAGATAGTTTTATGTCTGGAATATATACCATCTTTGATGTGTTAAATATTGATTTTAAATATTGTTATTTTATTTAGATAAAAAACAAGAAAAAGCACCTGAAAACAAAGAAGGAAAGAAATTCTACTGTAGCAAGTCCTCAAAACAACAGAGAAGAGCAAGAGGTATTCATTGATCCGTTTATTAACAGTTCTTGAAACAATGGTTGCAGGGAATGTCAAGTCCTTTCTTGTTACACTTCCTATACCTTAATTTTTCCCCCAGGAAAAGCCAATTATTAAAACTTTGCTCATATTATTTGCTGTTTATAAAAACACCAAAGAACCTTGACAGATGAGAGGTGGGTTGTATTAAGGTGCTATATTTAAATTTCATTTATACTTACTTTACTCTGAAAAGTATTTGAGGCATCTTACAAAGATACATCTAGGATAGCAAGAAGAAATAAATTGAAACTAAGAAAAATTCAATGGCAGTATAAGAGTCTAAGAAGAGATGGTGCTGAGATATTGACTTCCATCATGACAGCATGAGGAGCTCTGCAAATCCATTCACCTAGCAAAAACTGGTGATATTAAAAAAAAAAACCCACAACCATTTAAAATTTCTGGAAATTGTCCTAAGGGCAGGTAGCAAATGAAAAAACAAAACAAAATAAAACATGTATTTGTGAAAATCTACTAAAACTCAGTAAAAAGAAAACAGCAAGCGCCTATGGCATTAAATCAAGATTCCCCCCACACACACACCTCCCAGTTCAATGAAACAAACTCCACTCCAGACTAGTGTGGCCAGGAACACAGGGCCCCCTTGCTCCACAGATGCCAGTCAGCGGGCTATCTGCCTAAGAAGGTCAGGGCATCAGTATATCATATCCTGCCTCCAGCTACCTACTATTGAGGCTAAGTTCCAGGTGAGTACAGCCAAGGGGTAGGGGCTCCCTTCTTCTACCCAAGCCCCATGCATGAGACAGATACTTTGCCACGAGTGCTACATTACATATTTTGGCCCTATTTGCCCTCACCCTAGCTTATAAAATAATAGAGAAGACCTGGGACTACTGCCCTCTTTCCACCTACAGCTCCCCTCCTTAAATGGGTGTCACTAAAAGAAGAGTGCCATGTCCCCACCCCCAACTCCAGAGACACTCAAGTCAGAAACTTTGCCTTTGGGGAGAACCAGACAAAAAGATAGCTTTTTTTAAAGAACTTTTGAAAGAATTACATATTCACAGGAAGTTGTAAAGAAATACACGTACAGGAACTCTGTTGCATTTTCTTCTCCTTCCAGTGTTAACATCTTGCATATTGTTATACCATATCAACGCCATAAGACTGATGTTGATGCAATCCACAGAGCTTATTCAGATTTGACCAGTATGCATGCATTCATTTCGTGCAGTATTCCTCATAAAATTGTTAAGTCTGGTCTTTAAAGCACATTGTTATAGCAACATTGCATATTTTTACATTGATACCTGATTTCATGTTTGTAAATTGTGCAATCTAAGCAACATGAATATGCTTGGGAAAGGGCCAAAATTATAAAAAAAAAAATCAGTAAACAAACTCTCTAATCAACCTCAGTATGTGAAGTCATTTGCAGAACCCAGTAACCAAAGTAGATTTTGTTGGGAGGATTGGTTTTTTTTATTGTTTTGTATGTAGATTTTATGAGAACCATATTTATTTACTTCTCATAAACATATCCACCTAGTGGTTTTTCTCCTCTACCCAAGCTATATTTCATGTAAAATATAATAAATTCCTTTATATTAAATGTTTATATATTTTCCTCTTCCTTGATTGGAGCTTCAAAATTTTTAGGAAATCATAATCTGTATTTAATGTTGGATTTTCCAGATGGAAATCTGTCATCAATTGGTCATTTGAAAAGGCTGCATACATTATAAATATGCTTATAAACTAGTAGGAGTTCTTAACCTTCGATCTTGAAATTTATTTTCTAATAATCTTTGGCAAGAGGAGTGAACAGTGTCATCTTAACTGAGTTCAATGTCTGAGGACAACTTAAATTCATGCTCTGAACTATTTGTTTGTAAGATATCCATACATCCCCCAAATGATATTTTTAAGTTATTTTCAAGTATCTTATTTAACTTTATTTCCTACCAGGACATTCTCAATAATTGATTTTAAAGGCTTTCAGCAAAAACAAACAATTATAGATGGCATGGTTAGAATTAGGAGACCATGTTCAGAAGGACACTGGTCTAGTGATTTTCTATAGGATGAATGTAATAATTTATTGTGGCTTACAGCATCATTTCAACCAAGGGAAGAAGGTGAAAAATGACTGTATTCATCAAATCAAGTCTTATCACAAGTGAATTTCTCCAGCCTAATCTCACCTCTCTAAATTGTAGTGGTTATATAATATTGCTACTTTTAACTTTGTATAATTTTTTCTAGAGTATTTTTCCTTTATCTCTGCCTTCAGTTATTGTTTTGATTTTTATACTTTCATTTTCATAATGGTTATATCAATTTTTCCTGCCAAATTTATCTGCAGAGATTTTAGTTTTTAATTCATAGTCCACTTTTCATCAGGAGTTGATATGCATAACATGTTGGCAAAAAAATATTGTTTTCATTTTTTTCCTTTTGTTTGCCCTTTTGGAAAAACTCTTTATAATATCCACATACCACAGATGCAGAAACAAAAGTTTAGAAACAAACTTTTTTTTCTTTTTTTTTTTTAATTTTTTTTTAATTTTTTTTATTTTTACGATAGTCATACAGAGAGAGAGAGAGGCAGAGACACAGGCAGAGGGAGAAGCAGGCTCCATGCACAGGGAGCCTGACGTGGGATTCGATCCCGGGTCTCCAGGATCGCGCCCTGGGCCAAAGGCAGGCGCCAAACCGCTGCGCCACCCAGGGATCCCTAGAAACAAACTTTTTAAACAAAAGTTTAAAATGTCTTAATGGTCACATGATTTTTAGACTAGTCAGGATTTGTTGTCATAATTCAACAGTGCTTTATGTCTCATTTAGTCTACCTGGGACATTATTGGCAACTCCTTTTTCAAAGTAGAAAGCAGCATCATGTGTATGCTCTTACTTACTCTGGACTTTCACAAGATATGAGAAAATGCTTTTCATCTTTTTTATATAAATACAGTTTTGTAATCAATTATACTTTTTCACACAATTTTATATATTTTTTTCATTTCATAGTCTTATCTTCTTACATCTTTATTCTCATTTAATAAGTGGGATTGTAAGCATACATTTTTGTCTTTCTCATTGTAAATAAATTCTATATGAAGTCAAAAATGTTTTTAACTCCCTTTAGTAGTGTCAAAATACAATATCAATATTTTCTTTCACTCATTGCTTCCGGAGAAAAACAGTGTTATGAAAGATACTCGGAGGCCCTGATTTAAGAGATATTTTTGTCCACTCTAAGCCTGTAATGATAAAATGAGAAATGTTGAAAACTATACCAAATGTGATACAGGAAATATATGGCATTTTCATATTTACAATATACTATTATTTTCCTTTTTGTTCTGTGTTCCATTAGACATGTGATAAAGGACACTCAGTGCAAAGACACAGAGAACCAAATTCTGATGTGAAAGGTAATGTTCTGCTTCTACCCTCTCTAAACAATTTATTCAATACACACTTTCTTGTGCCAACACTTTGAGGTTGCCAGTGTGCTTGGTGCTAGGGATATTAAGAAGTATGCTATACCATTTCTTGCCCTCAGGAGCTCAACTTTTAACAGGGGGAGAGAAACAAGTAAACAAATTAAGTGCAGCGTTATAGGTGCAATGCCCGTATTCTAGACTGGATTCTCAAAGAGCATAGAGAAAGGAGTGGTCAGCTACACTGGAGGGTTGGAGTGAATGGTCCGTGTACTTGATGGATATCTCTGATTTGAGAGGTTTTCCCCTAAACAGAATTTAGGCATTTTATGTTTTATAAACCATCTTGGTCCTCTCATTTCTTAACTTAATAGAGGATGAGCCCAGGAGAGAAAATTATGAAGTATTCATTTGCTTCCACTAGAATCTGCTAGGTTGGATATGAATTTGCCTATTTGTACTACTATACATTTATATCACACTTATTTACAAAAAGGAATCGAGATAACCTAATTAAAAATATATATGTGTATATAGATCCATTTAATTTATGATCTAGCAGGCTAATTAGAAATAGAAATGGTAATAAGAACCACACCTCAGTGGTTGAGCATCTGCCTTTGGCTCAGGTCATGATCCTGGGGTCCTGGGATTGAGTCCCACATCGGGCTCCCTTTGGGGAGCCTACTTCTCCCTCTGGCTATGTGTCTGCCTCTCTGTATGTCTCTCATGAATAAATAAATAAAGTCTTTAAAAGAGAAAAAAAAAAAAAGAACCACACCAAAGAAAGGGGAAAATTCTAACCATAACTAATATGGTTAATTGACTTGAAACTTAACTACTCTTTCTCATAGTGATCATCCAAGAAAATCACTTTTTATATATAACTTTAACATATTCTTCTGTTATTAAAACTGAAAAGCACATTTTAGAATATTTATTTTAGACCTTTTCTACATCTGAGCATATATACTCCTTGTTAATCACAGAATATTCATGTTATTTTGCAACCTATGTTTTCATTTAAAATTACAGTGTATTATAAATTTCTTTACATGTTAATAAATGGTGGCAAAGTATTCCATTGTATTAGTTGAACCTTAAATTTAACTACCTTCATTATTAAACTTGGATTTTGCTTATTTTTTTCTGTTAGAAACAATAATGAAGACCTTATAACTCTGTATATATTCTTATTTATGATAGATTCCTAGAAAGGAAATGCTGTTCCAGAGGGTATGAACATTTTTTAGATTTTTGCAATAAATAGCAAAAATGCAACACAAATTCATATTTGAGGACTGTTGGTTTTAATTCATTTGAGCTAAACTATTTACATGCTATCTTCTAGCCATTTTTGTTTAGAAAACATAAAAAATAGGAAGTATAAAAGCCTCAAATTATTTTCATGCTACTAATGATCTTTTATCATCTTTTCTAGATATAAAGCCAAATAGATCAGATGATTATATATTTGACTATTTCAGAAGACCATTCCCTAATCAAGGTTTGGGTGAGTAAACTAGGAATATAGACAGTAATGAGCGCTCACAAGTCACCTAAATGTGAGTTACTTAACCTTATGTATCTGATCAATATCTGCATGTAAGAAATTAGATTATCTTCAAACTGATAGCCAAGGAGCATATTCACCTTCCCAGAAATTGTGAATCTCAAATCTTTATTTTTCTCTCTAGCTCTAGAAATTCATATAGGAAGCCAGTAGAAATTATTTATATATCAAATTGCTTTCTTGTCATTTTATCTAGTAAAAAAAAAAAAGAATACCTGTCTCATTGTCTAATCTCTTCATTTTCATCTCATGAATTCTAAAGAAGAGAGAAACTTTGATGAGAGTCCTCCAGCCTCACCTATATTATAGGATCCAGCCTCATTCAACCTTAGATTGACTACACTTGGTGACAAGTAGTTTACTTTAATTGCCAGACAGTTCATTCCATTGACAGAGCTTTAGCATTAAAAATATTCTTTTTATGTTGAGTTAAAAACATTTGTGTCTGTAAATTTCATCCACTTCTTTAATTACACAAAACAAAAAATGAAATAACCTGAAAAGTAAACATTTTTGACAGACTCCTTTTCCCTGATTCTCCTTGAAAAAAATGAGAACAAATGTAATGCCTCTTCCACATGATAGATCTGAAGTATTTTTTTAAAGCTATCGTGTATTCCCTGAAACTTTCCTTCCGTTTCTTTCAATCACCCACAGTACAGGATGAGTCAAGTCCTTTACCACCCGATTCATTCTTTTCTGTCACTGTTCAAGCTTGAGTGAAACCAAACACAGTATTACGGATGTCAGCTAGTGAGCGTACAATAAATCATCACTCTCATTTGCTTCTTTCTTGATTTCCATTAATGCAGCCTAAGGTTCTCTTGGAAACTCTCTTGGAAACTATCCTAAAATATTGATAAGTTGTGTTTATGTATACTCAAACCCATAAAGTTTTGTTTTCATTGTGCTGCTGCTACAGGGTGTCTCCATCTTCTACTTCTTCAATTGGTATTTTGGTTCAATGTCTTGGGCCTTAAATTTATTCCTGTTAAATCATCTTAGATTCAGCCTTTCATGAACTGTTTACCTTAAGTATGAAGTATTGTTGTGCTCTATATTTATGTGTATGCATATTCAGATGGAAATATCTGTAATATACAGTTGACCTTTTGTCAAAGCTTTAGACTTCTATGTAATTATCTCCTAAACATTTCCACAGAGATGTCCCACATATCCAAATTCAATTTCACCTAATTCTACACTAAATGCTGTTCCTCCTGTATTCTCTCTATAACCTTGGTATCAGTACTATCTACATAACCATCCATTTCAAGCTATAAACATGAGTTAACATATTTTTCTCCTTCCATTTCCATCCCTGAGATCCAGTCAACCACTGAATCCAGTGGATTTTACCTCATAACCTCTTTATCTCCATTTTAACTGTCATCATCCTTTTCAGACTCTTATATGTTTACAGGGAGATTTCTAATTGCCTTCCTTGCCACCAATATTGTCATCCTAATTTCACCTTTCATACTACTACAGAAGTGATCGAAAACACCAATCAGATTAGGTAAAATAACTACCCAAAACCTTTCAGTAATTCCTAGTTTCCTAACAGTGGTTGAAGTTGGCACGGTCCTAAAACTTAAAAAGAGAAAGCCTACAAAAGTTTAACTTCTAGTTTTGAAATAATTTCAGGAATAGTATGAAGAACTCTATCTGCCTATCTAATATTTCCCCCAATCCTTTTTTTTTTTTGGCAGATATCATATGTCCTTATTCCTCAGCAACTTCAACATATATTTTCCAAGAATAAGAACACTGTCTTACATTAAAATCAGGAAATTCAACTTTGATACAATACTATTTTATATCGTATTACAGTAATGTAACAATAATGTCCTTTAAAGCAAAAATCACATTTAAATACCATATCTCTTTATTCTCTTTCAATTTGGAATAGCCACTCAGCTTTCATCATGCACAGGCTTGGCATTTTTGAAGATCATGGGCCCCATTGTCTTGTAGAATGTTTGATTTTAAAGTTTTAATACACAGGAGAATTACCTGGGAAGTTTATGGCAACCCCAGCTTCTGATTCTGAGCTAGTCTTTGTTGTCAGCTTCTGAATCTACATTTTTTGTAAGTTACTTCAGACGGTTCTGATGTTGGCCATTTGCAGACCATCCTTAGTGACTCACCACTTAGGGAGCTCTAGTGAGAGATGGTAAAAGGCCAAACAGAACCTAGCCCATCAAACCCTTCTTCATATTGAATAGGTTTCTTTCTTTCCATAATGTTGTTAGTTCAAATGAAAAAGATCTTTTGGCAACCGCTTTCTACAACATAGAAACCAAGTTCTATAACATGATGTGCATTTCAATAAGAGTTAGATAGATTGAGTGATAATGATATGCACAAACTTCTCTGATTGTTCAGAGAACAGGATCAAATCCAGCCTGGAAGTCTCGGGGAATGTTTTCTTGAAGGAATTGATCCTTAAATTATGATGCAGTCTTAAATAACAAGTTAGGCAAGTAGCAGAGAGAGCAGAGAGTCACTTCCTTGAATTCTTAAAAAAAAAATTTTTTTTGCCAGTGGTTTTCTGATCTTATATGTAAATTCTTTCCTTACTTGAGATATAATATGTCTGGAGCTAGAAATAACTCATTCAGAGCCTTTTGACTTCTGTCTTCTCTTACCAATATTTATTCTCCCCTTTCTAGAGAGAAGAAAACTATTTGATAGAAAGACAGAAGCAACTTAAGAACTGTCATCCATCAGGATGATTGTTAGTAATATAATCCCAGAAGAACAGATTTAAACATTCTGTGATATATTTTAATTTTGAGTATAGCAAAGTAAAAGTTACGTCTTGTTATCAATATTGATTCATATCTTAACTTGATATTTTAACCTCCCTGACACTATTCTTCTATGTCGCAGCCACTCTCTTATAATCAGTCTTTGTTATATAATATCTTTTTCATGTTTGTTCATGTTCTTTTAAAAAAATCTGTTGGTTATCTGTTTCCCAGAAGTCTCAAGCTATACTAGTCAAGGATTGTGCTGGATACTAACATACGGTGGAAATACAGTCTATTCTCAGTAAGCAGAAAGAGTGACAAACATAATGGGATAAATGCTCCCTGCTGTGTTATGGGATTACATTGGAGTCATTGGGGATAGAGAAGTACCAGAGAAATTATCTCAAGAAAGGCAACTGTTTGGATTCCAGGGGCCAAATAAATAATTTTTTAACCAAGATCTGAATCTATTAAGAATAAAGACACAAAAACAAAATACTAGCAAACTGAATCCTGTAACATACTAAGAGGATTATGCACAGTGACCAAATAGAATTCATCCCAGAAATGCAAGACTGATTTACCATATGAGAAAATTAAGCACTGTAGACTTCCAGGGAAGATGGTGGAGTAGGAGGCTCCCATGATCACCTCATGCCATGGATACAACTAGATAACACCCACATCAGGGCAAATAACCCAGAAAACCACCCAAAGACTGGCAGGACAGAACTCTTCATAGCTAAATGTAGAGGAGGAAAAATCCTTCCCTACCCCACAACACAAGTAGGCAAGGCAGAGACAAGGTCAGGAGCTATAGGAAGGAATGCCATTAATGTGGAGAGGAAAGAGTACCAGACGCTCACACCAAGCACTCCAGGCCTGGAGAACCTGCAAGAAAACAAGAGGGGCATAATTTTGAGAGTTCTTCCAATCAGCAGGGCTTAATACCGGGAACTTTAAAAATCAATGGCTCAACTCTGGGAGAGTCAGGAGGGCAATGGGGAACTTCAGTCCCCACACTTAAAGAGACAGCACAACAGCAGCCCCACTGGGATACAGCATGAAAACAGCAGTTTGAAAACACACAGGGTATACAGGAGGGAGATTTGTTTACTCATCCCAAAGCGTGTTCTTGAGGGGCAGGAATCTCTGGGAGACTTCTCCAGGAATAAGAAAGCTGGCAGGTGCCATTTCCCTACCCCACCCCCAGCCTAGACACACAGACACCTGTGGGAAACAGTACGGTGCCAACACTTCCTACCTAACTTGCTAACAGTGTGCCCCACCCCAACACTTTCCTTCAGACACAACCCTCCAAGCAGGCCTCAGTTCCAGGTCATCTCCCACAGCAGACCTGCACAAACCTTGCTAACACCACATGAACTGCCCCTCCAATATGCGATTGGCAGAAACCCGCCTAAAGCAGTTCCACAGGCCTAAAAGGGTGCATGCAGCCACGACAGAGACCAGCACCAGCACCACTCTAGAGTGACTCCCACCCAAGGGAGATTGGAAATAACCACACACACCAGTCCACCTGCAGCCCTACCAGTGGAGCTGCGTCAGACATGTAGTCTGAAAATAGGCCCCACCCACCAATCAAAACTTCTCAGAGGACAACACACGGAAAGTGTCCAGTAGTTTGGTACTACAGTATCTCTGGCAAATGCGTAGTTTACTCCGGCTCCAGCCCAAAGCAGTCCAGACTGGGACACTAACAACACAGGATCAAAACCCTACGTACAGGGCAGCCTGGGTGGCTCAGCGGTTTAGCACTTCCTTCAGCCCAGGTTGTGATCCTGGAGACCCGGGATTGAGTCCCACATTGGGCTCCATGCATGGAGCCTGCTTCTCCCTCTGCCTGTGTCTCTGCCTCTCTCTCTTCTCTCTCTCTCCTCTCTCTCTCCTCTCTCTCTCTCTCTCTCTCTCTCTCTCTCTCTCTCACTCTCTCACTTTGTGTGTGTGTCTCATGAATAAATAAAATCTTTAAAAAAAAAAAACCTACCTACAACAGGCAAAGAGAGCCAACCAATGCAGATGACTGGACTAGAGACAAAAGTGGCTCAACCATAATAGTAGGGTGCACAAAGTACAAAAATGAGATACCTCTTAATTAACCAGCAGGTTCTGGTGAACAAAGGACACGCACTGTAGGGCACTACAGAACCTCTTCTTCATGAG